ATCTAGCTGGGGTCATCTAGACCCAGCAGTCTTTCCTGCCTATGCAGGGGGTCGGACTCGATGATCTATTGAGATCCCTTCCGACCCTAGCATCTATGAATCTATACCAGAATCTTTTTATCACTCTGCCAACAAAGGGAGACGCTGCTAAGAGATACTACTATTATTATTACAAAATAAAAAAGAAAGAAATTAATCAGAAATAAACCATACATAGTAATTATAAAAGAAAAGTCAGTTTAAAATGCAGTTACACTAAGCGGGCAGCAGGTCAACTCTTCAAGCATTTTGCTGTTTGCATTTGGAGATGCCCGAAATCACAGCAGATGGCCAGGAGAGGCATTTTTATACTGCTAGTTTTGGTTCTTCTCTCATCACAGAGTAGCTCCTGCAGCACCAAGTGGCCTAATGCAGCTAAGGGAAAGGAGACTGGAAGAGTTCAGAGGAGCAGGGCAAAGGATACCTTCTCCTAAACAGAGAGTGAGTGTGTGTACCTGTACATGTATCCTGACTCCTGCAGGACTGAGGGGCAAGAAGCGCAGTCCTCCTACCCTTGCATTAAGCAGATAACCCCATGATGCAATTAAAAAAAAGGTAGGCCACCATCTACACAAGGGTATTCTTGGTTTTCAGGGGAATATTTGACAATTTCTGACTAGAGTCAAATAACAGGCTGTCAATTTGACCAGTCAGTTGACACTGGTAAATCACAGACTCAATATAAGCCTGCAGTGATACAGCTGCACAAAAGGTGAATGAAGTTTTGGGATTCATCAACAGAAGCATCACAAGCAAGACACAGGAGGTGACAGTACTGCTCTCAGCACTCGTTAGACTTCATCCAGAGTACTTTGTGCAGTTTTAGGCTCCGCGTTTTAAATAAAAAACATGGAGAAGTTAGAGAGGGTCCAGAGGTGGGCAGCAAAGATGATAAAAGGGCTTGGAAAGCAACCCATACAAGGTAAGGCTGAAGAAACTAGGCAGATTTAGCTTACAGAAAAGATGCTTAAGAGGGGACATAACAGCAGTCTTCAAAAGGGCTACCAAAGGGCTACCAAAAAAACAACAGAAAACACCTTTTCTCTGTTGCAGGAGAGCAGGATGCAAACTAATGTCTTGAAGTTGCAGCAAAGTAAGTTTAGATTGGATATCAGGAAAAACTTCTGCCCTGTTAGAACAGAGCAGCAGTGTAATAGATTGTCTACGGAAGTTGTGGACTCTCCATCATTGGAGGTGTTCAAGAAAAGACTGGACAGCCGCTGGATGGAGATGATATAGGTGTAATTATACTTATGTTCTACTATGGGTATCTCCCTTGCTTCTGGGCTTTGCTAGTTATTGCATGGGGCTGGGTGGGAATTACCCTCCACCCCTTGTTGATATGTTATGGGTTTTTTAAGCCTCCCTCAGAGGGGTGTTGGCTACAGCCAAGGCTGGGGATTTTGACAGGTGTGCCAGTGCTCCTGCAGGGATTTAAATCCAGAAGTTCCTAGCTAGCGGGTCTTGCCCCTCTGCTCAGGGTCAGGAAGGAATTTTATCCCATGATCGGATTGGCATGGATTGTGGGGGCTTTAGCCTTCCTCTGTAGAGGGGGGAGCGACCCTCTCCCTGTGATCTCGAATGCATATTAACAACCTTTACAGAATCAGGACTTTACAGCCCTCTCTCTCTCTGATTCTTTACTTATATAACTGATTAATTAACCAGCTTGTCAACCCTAAGTCTCATAGTGACCATTAATCAAAATATAAATGTATTCTGTGTTTTTACTAAGGCCCAGTTTCTGCATTGTGAAGGCAGAGTACTGTATCAGGGTGGAGCACTAATTTTCAACAGGGCTCCATCAGGTGTAGTACCCTGAGGAAAAATTATGGCCTAATATTTTTAGATTACCTATAACACAACAGGAACATGCATTAGTATAAACTGTATACCTTTACAGTGTCATTAAATATTTAATTAGAGCATCTGTACTGTATTATTTCCCATTTCAGGAGGATATAAGCAACTAAGTTGTGTCTGGTCTTACCACCTGTACACAGAAATATCAGAGTCCTAAAGCTTTTTGAATTCCATGAGGATTTGGGCAAAACAGTACACTAATCAAAGCAAGAACTTTCCATTGCAGTATCAGCACACAAACACAGCATACACATACAGTTAATAATTTCAGGTCTAGCAGCAGGTACAAATGAAAATCTAACAGTGCTGTATCATTTATGGCATACTGAATACTTAAGTACTACATGCTCCTTGTACAACTATCTTGGTTATATTTAATTTTTCCTCTTCCCTTCTGCTTTCCTTCCAATTAAGGTTTTTCCCCTGCTATCTGAAAAAAAAAAGCATCTTGTATAGAAGAATCATTCAGCTCAGATGGTATCTGGTCCAAATACTAGTACTTTTTCACAAACACAAGATTGAGACTGGTGTTGCCTGGGACTGTACTAGAAAGGAGTACACGCCTCCTGGTCTATAAAGTTACGTGCTAGATTTTCCGAACTTTATATTCAGAATTATGTTACATACAAAAGTATGAGATCCACCTCCTTATATCACAACAAAGCAGCGACCTTTGTTTAATGAAATGTTGTAAGCATAACAGTTTGACCTTTATTGTTGGTTTATATGCAATTATTTTAAGAAAAATAAGAAATTCATAGGCTATGTTTTTTTGTAAGATTTTAAAATTCTAAATAGTCAGCAAACCTTGAAACCATAATAGACCACTTACCTCATGTGCTAACATTTTATAGAGTTCTTCTTTAGTTACAGTAATTCTCTCTCTGTCTGTGCTGTCCACAACAACTATTACAAACTTAAAAAAAAAGGTTAGTAAATATATGTATAGCTTGCATGTTTATGAGGTGCACTAGCACTAAATTTCTCTCTCATAGGATCCATTGGGTTTATTCTACATCCACTCAGAACTACACATTAAGTAGACAGTTTTCTGATGTGGGATACTGGAGGACAGACTATGTATATAGTTTTAAGTGGAAGCAGAATAAATGAACCTTTCCAGAAACCAATTGTTTATGGATTTTAAATATGTTTGCTGCTTTTTTAAGTTTGTATATAAATTTCCCATACACATTTCCTAAAAAACTGCTTTAAAATGACAGGCCATCTTTGTTAGGGTTGCATACACCTCTCATATCATACTGAAGCTTGTATTAGGACAACAGAAAATTCAGCTACACATGTCTAACAACAGAGAAGTAGTCAGCCATGTTAGTTTGAAATCAGGCAGAGTTGACTAACTAGCAGACTAATTCAGGGATAGGTAAGCTTTCGTAAACAGCAGCTCACTTTGTCAAATACTATGAAAGGACTTAGGGAGCAGGTGTTCAAATAGAAAGATTAATTTAAAATTCAAAGGATGGGAACTGGGGGGAGGAAAAGAGAGAAGACACTGCTGAGAAGCAAAGATAGGTTGAAGAGAAAAAACAAAGCAGCAACCCCACAGGGGTGAAGAGGTTAAGAGTGCTAACCAAGGCAATGAAATAAAAATCTGCAGTCAAGAACCTGCCGTCTCTGTTTAGATCAGGGGCAGGCAATTATGTTGGGAGGAGGGCCGCTTACTGAGTTTTGGCAAGCCATCGACGACCGCATGACAGGCAGGCAGGGGAAGATAAATACTAATTTTTTTAATTTTTAGGGACCCTGCCAGATAGAATGGCCTGGTGGGCCACATCTGGCCCGCCGGCTGCATTTTGCCCACCCCTAATTTAGACCATACTTTACACAATCCAGACTGTGGATGATTTCTTGTTCTTCTTTTACATTGGTTAAAGTGATGATGTAGGTCTTTGTTGATGAAGAGGCACAGCTGGCATCTAGGTTTGTTGCCTTGGTGAGAACAGGAATTAAACAATCTTGACTACTACCATCACTCGACTGGGCTATCACCACAGACCAATAACACTGATTATAACATCTGAGGTTAAGTTATCTGCTCTTCTATCAATGTTATATATGCCATTATCTGCTCACAGTGCCTCTCTGCTGTTTACACTGGACAAATGGGGCAATCCCTACGTGAAAGAATGAATGGACAACAATCTGGAACAGAGTCGAGACATACAAACACCTGTGGCAGAACACTTTAAATTCCCTGGACACGTTATCACTGACCTCAAAAGTGGGTGTTCTTAACAACTACACCTGAACAGGAAGTTGTGAAAAATAAATCATCCACAGATAGTACACAGTGTGATCTAAACAGAGGCTACAGATTCTTATCCCATTACCTGTATTAGCTTTCTTAACTCTCTCTCTCTCTCATGGGTTTATTGCTTTGCTTTTCTCTTCAACCCACCTTTGCCCCTCTCAGCAGTGCCTTCTTTTTTTTCAACCCCTGTCCCTATCAGCTATATTGAAATTACTTTCTACTTGAACCCCTGCTCCCTAAATCCTTTCACAGCATCTGATGAAGTGAGCTATTACTTATAAAAGCATATGCATCTCTAAACTAGTTAGCGTGCAAGGTACAACTCTATCTAACATCTAAGAATGACAGACCAATTTAAACTGAAGTGATTTAAATCTCTATTTTAGTCATTATATAGATTAAAATAATAACTTTTATTCTAGGTTTCCTACTTTTTGATCTCATTTTGCTTTTTTATTTTTTTTTATTTTCCTGAAGAAAGATTCAGTCTCACTGAATGAATTAATCATTAAAAACTGCCATATGCAGCTGAATGTACCTTTTACAATAAGTTTGGTAGTTTTTCCTAACCTGAAAAATGATCTATAATAGACATGGCTGAAAGTTAAAAATTCTTTTCTGCAGTAAAACTGGAATTCTGTTGCAAGAAGTTAAACTCTGCTACAGGGGCAGTTAACATAACTAGGACCCAGAGACATACTAGCAGTACAGAAAATACATTTTTGTGACCACTGAACAGGGTGGAGTGGGAAATCTGTTTCTGGAAACCTCTGGGAACAAACATTGTTTGCTAATTTTACTAAAAAAAAAAAAACTCTGTATCTCAGTTCCACAGCTGTGAGCTTGGAAGCTACTTAAATCCCCTGCTTAAAGCAATGTAAAAAGGTGCTCTGAAGCCACGGATCCCTTCTAGGGCACCAAATTCTGTAGCAGGCCATGCCCCTAAATTCTCTGACCCACCAGGAGCCCAACAGGCTAGATCTGGCCTGCAGGCCATATATTTGACATACCTGGTCTACAATACGAGAATAAAAATGATTCTTTCAATAAGGTATAAACTTTTACCTCTGTATTTGTATAGTAGGTGTTCCATGAAGATCGAAGCGATTCTTGTCCTCCAATGTCCCACATTAGAAAACGTGTGTTATTAACCACAAGCTCTTCTACATTACTCCCTATCGTAGGTGAAGTGTGCACCACTTCATTCATAGAACTGCAAAACAAAAGTAACTGAACAACAACTTGCATATGTCACGCTGGGAAAACAACTGTTGTCAATGTTCTTACTCTGTTAAGAATGTCAGGCCACAAAACTAACCTACCTTTCATAAACTGAAATTCTGATGGTAGTCAGCATTTCAGTAGACATTCCCTGATGCAGCGAAAGGTGCATGTTATTTGTCTAACTTGCATTTTACTTTCACTGAACAGATTAGTAATGACACCATAAAGCTCAAAGGGTATTTTCTAAAAGGTGTCTAACAGTCAGTTAAAAAAAAAAGTATTTCTAGGCTTAAAAAAAAAACAAAAAACAAACTACCCCCACCAACAATACAGTCTCAATCTGGGACAGAATATTTTTTTTTCCATGTCTGATTTATAAAGCTACTGAAAGAACAAGGATTTCTCCCCCAAAAATATCAACTTTGCTCTACTCTCTCAGCCATCATTGTACTTTTCTATAACTTAGAGACATGTGTGAAAATGAATATATCCAACACATATGCACTGTATTGTCTTTGCTGTTTTCTATAATGCAATTTAAAATGTTGTTTTGATATACTCAGCATAACTACTGATGGATTTAGATACTCAGAGAACTAATGTTTTACATCAGAAGTGCTCTCTTGGAGTGTCCAAAACAAGCCTTTATAGTAAAACAAACGCATTTCAGTATGGTCCACACAAAACCGTTTTCAAAGAAAAAAAGTATTTTCAAGAACTTGTTTAAATTGCTGTTTTTCTCCATAAAGTGACAACTATACTTACATAAATACCAAGACTGAATCCAGGAGTGAAATGGGCCAGGGATAATGTGAAATGGAATACCAGATAAAAGACCAGTTTCTGGGTTCATGTAATAAGCAATCATAGCATACATTTGCAAAAAAATGATTAATGAAATGAAAACGTGCAGATTATGAGGGGGTAGAACAAAGAGCTGGAAAACAATGAGGAGGATGACAGAGCAAGATACTGTTTGTTGAATTTGATTTTAAAATTCAGTTTAAGGAAGGATATACTCTGGTTTGAAATAAGCCATATTTAAAAGCTCTTTTAGCTGTCTGAGCTTGCAAGGTTTTGTACTCAACTTTACAATATTTCTCTGTTTTCCCGTAACAAGATAACTTTTGAATACTGTATCTCAAGTTTCTTGTTTCCTTCTAAGCATCAGTAACCACAACCCAATGATTTGACTAGAAAAATCAGAAACCCAGAAGGCAAGATAAGGGATATGAGAATCCTGTGCTATCTGTTAGCACCATTACAGCTTCAAACAAAGACAATTGTCTACAGCAGGGGCGGGCAATTATTTTGGGCAGAGGGCCGCTTATTGAATTTTGGCAAGCCATCAAGGGCCGCATGACAGGTAGTCCAGGGCAGATAAATATTAATTTTTAAAATTTTTTAGGGGCCCCACGGGCCGGATAGAATGGCCTGGTGGGCCACATCTGGCCCACCCCTGGTCTACAGATCAAAAAAAAAAGTCTGATGGAATCATTCTATATCAGTGGTTCTCAACCTCATTAGACTCGAGGCACTCCTCAGAAAATGACAGTTCTTAGCTTTCAATCATTTTCTGATTATGGAAAAACAACAGAACAATTCTTCGGTCATAACTCAGACCACAACAGGTCAGAATGTTTTTGACACTATGAAGTCCTATTTGAAATCCATGGGCACATCCCCATGAGCGTGCACATGAGGGAGATCCCGGTGTTAAAAAAAACTTGCTACTAACAAAAGCAGCACAGCGCATGTGGCAGCAGTGTTCACCACCAGAAACTGGAGCCTGGCTGGCCAGAGTCACACTCCGAGAAGCTGGCTCAACACCACTGCTGCCCCGGGAGGCCCCCAGCACCCCAGGTAAGACTACTGGGGTCAGGATAGATGCTGGACCCAGCCTCCTCTACCACACCAGGGTCCTTTTGCCATGCCAGTGCAAATATGTGCCACAGTTATTTGTCCCACAGGAAATAAAACCCCCTGCAGAGAAATTGTGAGTGCACAAAGACTTCAGAAGCAGGGAAAATGGGACAATCCTGAAATTGGGGGGGGGGGGGGGGAAATGGGAGCTTAGAGAGCCCCTTAAACGAAGGACCCATAATTGGGAGGAAAAATGGTGAACAATGGAACGAAGTGCATAAGGGACACACATCACCTGGCGAGGTGGAAGGAGGTTGTGGGGGCTGCAGAATTAGACAGACAGGGGGATGGAACACAGGGAGCTTATGAAGGAAAACAGAGGGATAAGGAGTTCCTGTTATGAGTCTGGCAAGTGTACCTTTCTCAAATGTTTAGAAATATCGAGAGAGGAACAGGAGGAAGTTTATTTTTGTTTTTCAACATTGGTTAGTTTAACAATTAACTCTCTAATCCTCAGCTTAAATTTAAGATAAATGCAGGTACACAACCATTAAATTTTAGGCATGTCATGTTAATGACTTTGTTTACATTGGCAGCCCCTGTGACTTACACACAATAAGTGTAATGAGGATCCTGAACTCTGATCAGCAAACAATCATACCTTTTGGTGGAACATTGGTAACTATGAAATAGTAGAGCAGATATTCATCTTATAGGCTAACTAAATAAGATATATATATGAGATAGCAACCAATGTGGTTGTACAAGGGGATTCTAAAATGCCTCAAATGCAGAAGGAAGTATAAAGGCAGTTGAAGAATGGTCAGGTCATCAAGGAAGTCTACAAGGAAACAGCAAGAACCTACAGAGGCAAAATCAGGAAGGCAAAGATAGAGAACAAGCTGCACCTGGCAAAGGAAGTTAAGGTTCTAGAAGTACCTTGGCCAGAAAAGAAGGGCCAAGGAAGCTGTGGGTCCTGTTAACAAGACAGAGGGAACTCCTAAGGATGCAAAGACGACCACAGCTCAACAGCTACTTTGCCTCAGTCTTCACAGAAAAATTACGCTGTAGCCAGACACCTAATAAGAATTATCTGGATAAGGAAGAGTAGACGCTGAGGGAGGAGATAACAAGAGACAGACAGAGTGCTTTTGTTGGGTCTGAATGAATTCAAGTCAGCTTCACCCCAGGGTCCTGAAGAAACTGGCAGAGGAGATCTCTGAGCCCTTGGCAATGATCTTCATGAAGTCGTGGGAGATGGGAGAGGTACCAGAGGACTGGTACCTCATCATAGTGCCCCTCTTTAAAAAGGCAAGGAGGAGGACGACCCAGGGAACTACAGACCAGTTAGCTTCACCTCAAAAACTGACAAGTACTGTGGATACTTATCCTAAGGAAAGCCACTTGCAAGCATCTGAAGGAGAAAAGGCGGATTGCAAACAGCCAGCATGGCTTTATGAAAAATAAATCATGTCAAACAAACCTGATCTTCTTTGACAAAGTAACTACTTGGGTGGATGAAGGAAATACGGTGGATATAGTATATCTGGACTTATGACAAGGTCTTGCATGACTTTCTCATAAACTAATTGAAGAAATGTGGGCAGGATAAAACTTGCTACAAGGTGGATTGGTAGCTGGCTCAATGGCTACGAGCAATGGGTAATTAACAGGTCCATATCAGAATGGCAGAAGGTTTCAAGCAGAGTCTCACAGGGGTCCGTCCCGGACCTAGTGCTGTTCAATGTATTTATTAACGATTTGGATGCCGGCATAGAAAGCTGCTTGAGCAAGTATGCACACATCATGAAACTAGAAAGGACTGCAAATATGCTGGAGGCACGTGAGTGCAATTCAGAAGGATCTCAACAGATGGGAAAGTTGTGCTAGAGCTAACAGGATGAAGTTCAATGTGGACAAATGAAAGGTATTACACCTTGGGAGGAATAAAATGCAAATATAAAATGGGTGACACTTGGCTGAATAGCCACTCTATGGAAGAGGACTTGAGAGTTTTCGTAAATCACAGACTCAGTATATATTGAGTGATGCAGCTGCACAAAAGGCAAATGCAGTTTTGGGGTGCATCAACAGAAGAATTAGGTGCAAGACACGGGAGGCAACAGCGCCTCTCTACTCTGTACTGTTTAGGTGTCATCTAGAGTACTGTGTGCAGTTCTGGACTCCACATTTTTACAAAAGGTATGGAGAAGTTAGAGGGGGTCCAGAGGCTGGCAACAAAGATGATAAGGGCTTGGAAGACAAGTCATACAAAGAGAGGCTGAAGGAGCTAGGCATGTTCAGCTTACAAAAAGGCACTTAAGAGGGGACACGGCAGCAGTCTCCAAATACCTAAAGGGCTATCATAAAGAAGAGGGGAAGTATTTTTTCTCTCTCACTGCAGAAAGTAGGATGTGGACCAATGGCTTGAAGTTGCAGTGAAGTAAGTTTAGCTTGAATATCCAGAAAAATATCTTCACTGTGAGAACAGTGAGGCAGTGGAATAAACTGTCTAGGAAACACTGGAGGTGTTCAAGGAAAGGCTGGATAGCCCAGTGGAGGCAACCACTGGCGCACATGCCAGTGCATGGCATGCAAAGGTATTTTGCTTGGCACTCGCACCTCTGGGTAGGGGCTGGGGTTGCACTGAGGTGTATTTCTCAGGCTTTTGGGCCTGGCTGGTTACCCTTGCTCACACCCCCATCCCACCCCCTTTTTGCTACGTTTTAGGGTGTTTTTAAGCCTTCCTCAGAGGCACTGGGTGCCGGCTACAGCTAACACTGGGGCTTTTGACTGCAGTGTGCCAATGCTCCTGCTGGGACCAAAGTCAGAGGTTTCTGGCTAGAAGGTCTTGCCCCTCTGCTCAAGGTCAGAAAGGAGTTTTACTCCGTGGTTAGACTGATATGGACAGTGAGGGTTTTTGCCTTCCTCTGAAGAAAGCGCATAGCCCTCTACCTGGGATCTCTTGAGCATATATTGGCAACATTTCATAGAAGCAGCATTGGCTGCAATGGTTCCCCTGCTTTACCTGTGGCAGGTTAAGGTGTCATCATGTCTGTGTTGTGTCAGGGTTGACAGTAGTCTCATGCAGAGTTTACATTATAGTTTGTATAGGATGGTTTGGATAGGGATGATCCTGCCTCAGGTGGGAGTTGGACTGGATGGCCTCTGGGGGTCCCTTCCGGCCCTTCGCAGCTTTTCTATTGTTAGAGAGCATAAACTTCTGCGAATCTGAGCTCACTTCATCAGATTCTGTGGAAGGGCAACACAGGGGGGTGAGGTGTCTGTGTGTGTGTCTCTCTTTAGTCTATAAGGTACATATCTACCCTGCCATCTGCTTGACTCAGACTAACACAGCTAACTACCCCTCTCAACTATAAAATAATCCAGGAAAAAGAATACCTCCAAGCCCTGCTAACATATTACTGTCAAATGAATATCTACCAGTCAGTACACAGAACTTCACAATTTGGTGGGGGACAATCACCACCTACATTATGCCTTCACACACAGCCTACAGCTCTAAAAATAAGTTGGGGGTGGAAGGTGGGGATAAGGAAGTAGATATGAAGTCAGAGCAAGAGAGAAACTACTACACAAAATATTTTAATGTATTTTCGAAAGTTTATACTTACAATTGATAAAGAATTGTAGTTTTTCCTGCATTATCCAGACCAACAATGATTACTTTGTGCTCTGAAATAAAAAAATTCACTAGTAAGTCGCAATCACCACAGCACTTATACACTTATTTAATACTTAGTGCATATCACTAAACAGATAATTCTATGCCAGCCTGCACATAGCTAGCCAGCATAACTAAAGAAAATCTAATTCTTAAATAAGACCAAACTCAGAACATAAGGCTCTCAACCGTCTTCAAAAATAAATAACAACAGGGTCCCTTCTGAAGTCTTTACACATTACTACAATGTAATGAAAACACACAATAATTTAGAAACTAATTAGATTAGCAAAGAATGGAGCATGAAAAGAAAATCTCATTCTGGTTTATAATTTTAGAGAAAAGGGTGATTTCCATGGTAAACAGGACTACTCATCTACTTGGTAAAGCAGTCAATTTCTGTCATATAAACAATGTATCCCAAAGAATGTATTTTTCCTTGACTGTGCTGCACCAGTCATTTCAATTAACGTAATTTGGGATAAGTGAACTGGTACTACATGAAACATTTAGTCACATAAGCAAATGTTTTTAAACCAAAAACCTGAATTAATTAGTGTTTAAATATATTGTCTTTTTTTCCCATTTTAACAAGGCTATAAGTTGAATAATTGGTTTTCTAAAGTACACTTAGTCTGTTAGTGTACTGTACAGACAAGTGCTACTCATTATTGGCTGGACTATACAACTTCTATTCACACAAATAACATCACTGACTTCTGTGGAAATATTCATGTGATGAGCATGGTAGGCAGGTATAAAGTTGCCCAGGCCATTAAATGTGCAGCCAAACTTTAGTCTGTAGCAGTAACTGCTTACATTAATAGAGTACAGATGCATTTGATTTTTTACAAGGGGTCAGGTAAGTGCTTTTTGGGTTTTTTAAAATCAATATTGTGTGGTTTTGCAGAGTCGTTTATATCCCATAGGGTATAAATTTAAGTTACAATAACTTTGCATAACTGCACAATATTGTAAAAACAGCTGCTTACCTGACCCCATATAAGGCCCTTTTGTTTCTGACAGATGTTGCCAGCAAAGCTGATACTAGGAAATCATGTGGAGCAGTTCATCTATAGGGAGAATGGATGATGCAAACCTTAAAAGACAACAAAAAAGGGTGTTTTAAAGGATTTGGCCAGAATGGTTAAAGCACTGAATATGGGGACCATCCAGTGAGCATGTACAAAATGGTTTATCTGAAAGTCAGCTTTATAGAAGACAATGTCTACTTAAACACAAGAATAGCTAATATAACATTTTACACCACATTACAGATCTCTTTCAAAAGTGGCATTGGAAACAATGTACTCGCCATAAAATGCATTTCATTAGCATGCTAAGGTTTATCATTGGCTATCCATCACTAACAAAAATAGACACTGTAAACAACAAGACACAAGGGAGCATACAATGCTCCACAACTGTAGCGTGGTTTTATGTATACTGTTGCCTTTGTAATTCAAACATTCAGAAGAATATTTAAAAGTGAGCTTGAGATACCAAATCACCAATAAAAAAACCCGCAAGCCATCAAAACCAGCCCCATAATGATGGCCTGAGGGAGCGTAAGCCCAAAAACTGTCTGTTGAAGGCAAAGTTTAGCAGTCAAACTTCAGACTGCTTCTCTCCCTAATCAGAACTGCAGCTACGTTTCTGTCACAGTTCAGATACCATCGATACCATCATTTGCTTCAATATTTATTTAAAGCAAAATACAAATACCCTAATGATGTAACCAGCATGTTAAAACGAAAGAAAAAACAACACACAGAAAAAGCTTGCTATTGACAGAAACCTATATTGTACTGCAACCTATTTCAAATCGTTACATGCAGTAAGAGAGTGAGACCGGCCAGATTAAACAGCAAGCTCCCCTCAGCTGTAGCTCGTGGAGGCAAAAGTTGATTCCCGCTGAAATGCAGGGAAAGCCTTTGGAGCTCAAAAGATCAATCACCTTTTAAAAACCAAACAAGAAACAAAAGCAGTTTTTTTTTTAAAAAAGGGTTTGCAAAATCCGTGTCCACTGCAGAGACAACGAGACGCCGACGGGCACAACAGATGTCCTTCCAGGCGTGTGTCCAAGCGTGTGGTTGACAGCGCTCAATCCCCTCGCTGCTTTCCCTCCTCAAGGGGCCCCTAAACGCAGCCGGCAAAGGAAACCGGCCAACCCCGCACAGATTAAATCTGCTCAACTATCCGGGGGGATCAGACTGCAAAACACACCAGCGCGGCTCACCCAGGCTCCGCCAAGCCACCAATTAAAAAAAGTCCAGAAACAAGCCGGCCGGCAAAAGCGACCCCATAACGATGGCCTGAGGGAGCATCAGGCCAAACGCTGCCCTGTGCCAACTCAATGATCTCCAGGCCCCCCCGG